CAAGATAAGTGAATTTTTTGCTGTCGATATTAGGGACATTTGCTCTACGAGTTGAGTTTTCTGAAAATCTGATATTATCCTTTTCAATATATTCCTGACAGCCCATATATACAACTCAGCTTACACGACCTAAAAATGGAGCTCTCAGTAGAATAAATGAAGCATTTAGGAAGTCAGTTCGCATCAAAGAAGCTGATCATCAGTAGTTTGATTCGTCGAGTTATGAGTTATCACACACCTAATCAATAAGCTTCATATGTAAAAACTGTCTTTTCATTTTCAGCAAACAATACTCTATCATTTCATGAATTACCACAAGAAACTCAATTATCAATTGAACGTAAACGTTTAGCTGGTTATTGTCATAAAGCATATAAAAAAGTGAATCATACACGAGAAGAAACACGAGAAACAACTGTATGTCAATGTGAAAATTCTTTTTATGTTGATACAGTTCGTGCATTTCGTGATCGACGTTATGAATAAAAAGGTTTACATAAAAAATGGAAAAAAAATTTAGCAAATGCATAAAAAAAAGATGATCTTAATGAAGTTAAACGATGTAATAATTTAGTTGTTATTCATGTAAGTTAAATTTTATTATCTTTCTATTTGATCATATTATTTTCAATATTTAGGATTCATTACAACTTGCACATAAATGTATTCTTAATTCATTTTATGGTTATGTTATGCGAAGAGATATATTTCGACATGTTAAATAAATTGTAATTTTTTTTTTGATTAATTTAGGCGCTCGTTGGTATCGAATGGAAATGGGTGGTATTGTATGTACAACAGGTTCGACTATTATCAAACGTACTCGAGAACTTGTTGAACAAATTGGTCGACCACTTGAACTTGATACAGTAAGCATAGTCTCGATAATAATTTAATAGAAATTATTTAGCATATACTCGTAAGGTACTTGTATCTGAGTATTTTCGTCGCTAGTGATGAATGATTGATTGTCTCGTACCATCCCTGTGGTAGCACACGATATCTTTGAGTGAGAGAACTGAGTCGAGCCTGTCCAGAGCTACAACTAGTAATACTTGCAGAGAAGATATCGACCTTATGAAACTGCTTCTGAGCAGTGCCTCATACCGTTAAGTAGACGCAAGAGACAACGATATTCTTCCTTCTTCTTTAATGTTCTATTTAGTTACTGTGATCGATGTCAATAGGAGATCAACAGCAAATTCCAAACATCATCAGTCTCCTCCTTTTATCCTATTTAACATTTTTAGACTTTCTAATTTTACTTTTTTTGTATTCTATATACGTTTCGAAGAGCGTAAAATTTTCCTATTGTCTGAAAACGATGTTTTGGCCAGAATCTGATGAATCAATAGATTTTGACCGGATTTACAAGCCATGAAAAATAAATCCAAAAAACATACATTCTCTAAACAGTGTCCAGCATGTGTAAAAACATTTTTCTCAATGTGGCTGGGAAAAGAACCGCAAGCAAAATCATCTGAAGAATTCGCGACTACGGTATCTTATACGGTAACCGAAAATGTGAAGAAGTCCGCTTAAGTTTCTTTTCTATGAAATATTATGTTATGTATAACATATTTTCATTTTGTAGAAAAGTTTTCTATTTTTGTTTTTCATACGTTTATACTTTTGATTAACAAGTCAGATAAATGATTATATGAATTATTATTTTATTTAGGATGGTATATGGTGTGTATTACCAGCAACATTTCCTGAAAATTATGAATTAATAACACGTGATCCATCACGTCCAAAAGTTGTTATATCTTATCCATATAGTTTATTAAATTTAATTATTAAAGACCATTATACAAATGATCAATAGCATGAATTAATTGATAAAGATAAACATATATATGAAATTCGTTCAGAAAATTCGATTTTTTTTTAAATTGATGGTCCTTATTTAGCTATGATATTACCAGCATCAAAAGAAGAAGGAAAACGTATAAAAAAACGTTATTGTGTATTTAATATGGATGGTTCTATAGCTGAATTAAAAGGTTTCGAAGTAAAACGTAATGGTGAATTACAATTAATAAAAATATTTCAAACAAGTGTTTTTGAAGCATTTCTTAAAGGTACAACACTTGAAGAATGTTATAATCATGTTGCAACTATTGCTGATTATTGGCTTGATATGTTATATTCACATGCAAAAGATATATCAGATAAAGAATTATTTGAATTAATATCAGAACGAAGAACTATGTCAAGAATGTTATCCAATTATGGTGAACAAAAATCAACATCAATTTCGATAGCTAAAAGATAAAATTAAATTTATATCAAGATGAAATATTGATTTATACTTAATCACTGAGCTTGAATCGAAGCTGAAAATAAACCAGGAAGAAGCCTCGGTTGGGTTATTTCGAGTGTCGGAAACGATTGAATACGAGAAGAACTGTGACTGGGAAGTTCGGGCTCAATACATGGACCATTTCAGGAAAAATGGGACATACTTCCCTCCATTCATTTGACTTTGATTCTTTACAAGAATTATTTTTTCAGATAAGTTCTTTTAGCATAAACATATGTTGACTCTTTCTGCTGAGTATTAATTAAAAAAGTAATTAGCGAATATCTCTGTAATTATACAAGCAGGACTTGTTGAGACTAGAGGAAACCTAGAATGATTCTTCCCTATGCGTTGTCCTTTTGGAGTTAAGGCCATTACACTGGGTTTTTTTACCTTTGGTACGATATTTATCAAAAAAATTAGACAAATGAATTTTTACTGAAAACTTTGCCCATAGAATCTTTTTCGCTGAAATTTTTAGCAGATTCTAATGACTTCAAAAATTGTCTATGGGCAGAGTTTCAGATCAAAACTCGTTTATCCGGTTTTTTTTAATAAATACCGTGACAAAGAGTAAAAATCCGGTGTAACGGTCATAATTTCAAAAAAGGCAGCACAATAGGGAAGAATCCTTGTAGGTTTCTTCTAGTCTCAACAGACCCTACGTAATGACTCGGGTCTCATTGCAAACGTGACATTTCATTTCTGGTAATTCCCTCGTAAGTAAATAAATTTTTGCTGCTCCAAATTGAATGAATACTATTAAGTCTAAATAATTCATCGAATGTCTTTTTTTTTGTTTTTTAGACTTGCCGAATTTCTTGGTGAAGATGTTATTAAAGATAAAGGTCTTTGTTATCGTTTTGATATAGCTAATGTACCACGTGATGTACCTATTACTGCACGTGCTATTCCATTAGCTATATTTCAATCTCAACAATCTATACGTAATCATTCTTTACGTAAATGGTTACATTTATCAACTGTTGATAATCTTGATATACGTGAAATTCTCGATTGGAATTATTATATTGATCGTTTTAATAGTTGTATACAAAAAATAATAATTATTCCAGCTGCTTTACAAAATATACGTAATCCAGTACCACGTGTTTCACATCCTGATTGGTTACATAAACGTTTAGTTGAAAAAAATAGTTTATATAAACAAAAACGTATAACTGATGTATTTAATTCAATTGATAAACAAACACATATAGATAATAATGAACCACAATTTATTATAACAAATGATATTGAAGATATAGGTGAACAAACAAAATCATCGATAAATTTAATAAAAAAACTACAACAATAAAAAAAACATTAAAACGTAAACGTGATGAATTAAATGATAAGACAATAACACGTCAATGAAGAATTGTTCTTGGTCCACCACCATCATTTGGTCAAACAATAAATCAACACATTAAATGGCTTAATTATCAAAAACATAAATGGAATATACAATATGAACAACGACATCATACATCTGATAAAATTCAATTAATAACAAAACAAAAAACTTCAAATGATGGTAAAATTGATACATATATTCGTCGTGCAGCTGAACATTTACATACACGTCCATGGCAAATAATATCATATGAATTAACTGATCAAATAGGTATATTTAAGGCCCCCATCCCACTCAAAAATCGATCTCAGCCCAGGAACGTTCAAATGGACTGAAATTTGTGGCATATGTTGGGGCTGAAGTGAGGAGGCTGTGGTAAAATTTTCAGCTCGGTATCCTGATATTTGACAGAGATATGAACCAAAACAAGGGTAAAAAATACCTCATTTACTGTCCAAGATTTCTCGGTCCAAGTTCTTTCAATATATTTAAATTCTTTTTTGTTAGAAAGAGCATGTCGGGATGCAGGGCACCACAGAGTCCTTTTTTCAAATTCTTAGTTTTTTAGCGGAAAAAGGGGATCACAAGTTCAATGACTCAAAAAACGCGCCAAAAATGGATGTCTGTGTGTCTGTATATATAATAAAAAACAAGCGTAATTTAAAAAAAGGACTCTGTACTGCACTGCATCTTGACGTGCTCTTTCAAACAAAAAAAAATTTAAATATATTGAATGAGCCTGGACAGAGAAAAATGGATTGGGCAGGCCAGAAAACCTAAACTGAGAAAAAACGAAAAACATTTTACGTTTTTTTCAAAATAAGCATATTTTTCAAGAAGACGTTAACGGAAATCATCGAAAATCTTATCCGAAAAGGGGATGTCGGCCTAAAGATCATATTGTTTTTGAAAGTTAAGTAATCCAAATATTGAAGGTGTTTATGAAATGAATGTACCATTAGATTTTCGTTTACTTATTACACTTGGTTGTATATGTTCATTACGTAAAGAACAACATCGTACAAATATACTTTCAAATTTATATCAATTTGATGAATTAGAATTTTTATCATTATCAGAACAAACATATTTACAATCAGGTACATTACAATGTATTTATTTATATATACATCAAGATAATGGAAAATTATTTATTGATTTATTTATACCAAATAATTGTCGTGTATTTATTGGTATATTAGATAGTATTAGAGAAAATCATATGCCAAATTTAAATAAATTATTAAAAAATGAATGTGAAAAACGATTACAAAAAAGTATTGATACAAATTTATTACCAATAAATGAACATCAATTTGAAGTTAAAGTTGATACAAATATACAAAATATTTGGAAAAGATTTAATAAAATTATTGCAAATCGTAAGTAAAATTTAATGAATATGATTTTAAATCGGATTACAAAAAGAAACTCGAATAGAGTTCTTTTTTTTACTATAGATGAAAACTAGACTGAAAAATAGTTTAAAAAAAACACGACGGAATCCATATTATATGATACTAAAATAGTAGGCAAACCTCTAAATTAGACCACTTTTCAATGGTTCGATCTGAACCATAAATTGCTCATATCTACATTGCCCGGACTAACATTAATAATAAGTATGTTGTCTCCTTACGATTCAAATCGGACAAAAATCTGACTGTCAACCAATGGTAGTTTGATAATTAAACGGTCGGCTATCTTTTGACAGCCATTCTACTGTAATATACCGGTAGGTGTTCTTCGACCGACAACCTGCTGGCAACTAGAGCCCGGCGGGTCGGATCCGGACCCGCTCGGATCTGGAAATTTTGCATTGATCGGATCCGAGTCCAACAATTTCTAAATAATCGGGTTCGGACCCAGTAAATTTTAAACGGGCCCTACTGTTAACCCTTAGAGGTACTGCAGTAGTACGAACAAACTTGTCACATAGGTTCTTTTACGAAAAGTATTTCTAAATGATGAAATCCAATGACTACTTCGGTAATGTGTCCGAACACTAAAAACTTTATCATTATGATGATCATGAATTTAATATAAGGCCAAAGAATTCCAATGTTTGTAAAAATAACATGAGAGATAAGTCGAATTTCTTATTAAGAATCTCTTGGGAGTAAATTATTCACTAATTCCGTTCAAAGAGTTAGATAAATGATTATATTGTTTACACTATTAATACCAGAACTCTCCATTGACTGGACTGCGCTTATCCAATTTTACGATGAGTATATCCACGAGCTGCGAGCTTTGGCTCATGGATTATATTTTGAATAAAACACAGTATTCTATAGATTTGTCTAATATTTTTTTTTCGAAAAATTTCATTTAGTTCTTTCGTTGGCTTAAACTTTCTGCAATGAAGTGCGGATTAATGTACGAAGCAAATCACAGAATAAGGACATCAAATTGATGTAATAATAATGTACCAAGATATTGTTGACATGTCGACACAAGACCAACAAACTTTGATTGGTTGAAGAGGACTCCCTTTCCGAACTTAACAAAATTTTTTATTCGATTTCGAGGTTTTCGTTTCTAAAAATGGATTGAAGTGACGTAAAAATCAGAACTGTGCCAAGCCGTATAAACCTTGAAAAAGGTTAGTTTCGAGAACTCCTATCTTGAAAAAAAAGCCTATGGTTTTTTAGGTAGCAATTTTGTGAATTTATCTTTTTTATTAATGTTCTTAGAAACAGCTCTTTATATTTATTGAAGTTTTTCCTCATTTTCTCCTATACGATATGTCCGATCGAACTCAAATTTTTTTATGAGTACTTTAGTCAATAAAAAAAGATTGACAAATGACGTGTCATACACGATAACATTAGTGCTCAAGTTATAGAAAGAGTACTGATTTTTTTGTTTCGTCTTCAACTTGAACTTGGTCATTTTTTTAAATTTCTTGTTCTATTACTCTGTCAGTATAAGATGTTGGTCATATATTCTTAACAACAATCTAACATGAATTTGAAGAGCATTAGTAAAAGATTCGATGAAGATTAGGAGTTTCAGACGTTAATCTGTCTTTTAATATCGATTGTTTGTCACTATGATGGTACAAACATCCTTTCAAGAATAAATCTCTCCTATTCGCAATTTCCTTTGACCGAGAAACATACAGGTCGAATTAGAAGTTCGTCGGGAAATAAGACTGAACCAACTCTTCAACCGATTTATATGACATATTCATCATTTGATAGAATATGTGTTGTTTAACAAATCATCATCAACACAAATATCTAAGGCCCCAATCACACCGACTAATTCAAAGTGAATTAAAACAGAATTAACGAATAAATCATCTCAAAAAGACGATTTAAGTCGGAATAGACCAATCGCGTCGCTTTATTTGTTTTATCTTTTTCTGTGTGATTGGGGCCTAAGCCAGAATTGTAACCGATAGGATTTTTTCCTTAACGGCATGAATCATTCTTCCTTTTTTGACCATATAACAGTCATATCTTCCTTCTAGTCACTACAGTAATCAAATAAAAGCGCTATTTCACGGCTATAGCACTTTTCACTAGTTATTTTGATGTTTTCTCTTTTCGTGGTATCTCTTATTGGTGGACAGTACAACTTCATAGGATACAAATTCTATATTAATTTTATGTTTTGATTAACTATTCGTCAGTCATCGACACACCATGTCAGCGTATAGTAGAAAAAGAAAAAGATCGGAATAAGCATTGAACAAGAAGCTCCAGTATTGGATGATTTGTTTCGCTCAATCATAAAGTGAATTTTGACATCGATAGCGTCGCTATTTTCCTATTGGACTTTTTTGTTTGGTCCTATGATTCAATCCATCTTTCTTCAATCCATCTCTCACAAAGACAAAGATTTAATTCTAGTTCGAGAAAAAAAAGAAGGCAAACAAACTATTTGTATAATTTGTGGACATTTGTATCTGACTCTTTTCTATCACCAACATTGTATGCATGGCAAGATCTTATGTTTTCTCTTCCATTCTAGATGTCAATGGAAATGAGCAATTTAAATCAAATCAATATTCAAAAGAATGGTGGAGAGCCTATTACCTTGCGTTTTCAAGAGAACAATAGCATTGCCGACATCGATGCTGCTCTTCGACATACATTATCCATTTCAAAGAATCAAAATTATTCCTTAAGTTACAAGAATAAAGATACTGGTCAAGACATTTACATTGTAGCTAATGGAAGCATGCTACGTGAATGTCTTACAGAAAATATTAATCAATTGAATGTATTTGTTGATCCACCAACTCGTGTTCCATGTAAGCTAGAATTGCAGAATATTTGGATAAAAATTATTTTAGTACGACGTCTTATGATAATCAATGTAAAATGAAATCCTTTTTTTTGATATCGATCGACGATCTCTGTTCGATCAATTAATCTTTTGGATAGTTTCATGCAGCCTCTATCTATACATAAACAATCTAGTGCGATGTGTTACACAACTAGATACTTGAATACATTCTGAAGAGTAAGATTTGTTCAAGTTGATCTTAGTCTTGAGCATTTGCAAACAGAGTTTAGAATATATTGTCCAAGGTTTGATTAAATTCATCAAAATATGACAATGTCTCGTTAGTTAATTATGACTCTTTTTGTTGAAATAACTCGATTCACTTAGAATATTAGCATGAAAATCACTAAGTACTTTTCTTTTTCCATTCCTGACAGCGAAGAGTAAAAACAAAAATGAAAAATTCGATTTTATTCGTTTATAGTTAGATTTTCTTCGCATGAAAGTGCTTCTTTTCTACAAATAAGAAACATACGGTTTCTATTTCTTGATATAAAAATTCAATTATATTTTCTCATTAATTTCCATTCGTTCAAATATTCTAACTAATCTATATTGTGAGAATAACTTCACTAATTTTATTACATTATCCTTGTTCTCTTTAGTACCATCATCATCATCATCATCATCATCATCTCATAGCAAAAGTAATGAAAGCACCGAGCTAGTACAACGATGGCCTGAATTAATGAAAAGTATTGATCATCGAATTAATCGTTGGACAAGCCGTTCAGATGAGTAAGATACAAGAGAACATGCTATCGATTTGAGCAATAGAAAAGATCGCTACAGAAGAAAGTGAAGGTGACAGTTGTGGTTATTACAATGAGACATTTGCATTACTCATTAAAAACAGAAGGATACATAAACAAAACGAAAAGAAATAATAGTCTAGATATGGAGAATAATCTCTAAAACATCGATCGATACTGATCGCAGGCAGCTAGCATTATTTTGTCATTGTTTCGTAAGAACTTTCGTGAACCAATGAATATTCGCTATTTTACTACTATGTTCAAATAAAACAAGCTGAATCATGAATTACTATTGACGTTGGATTTCATCAATAGTTTTTTTCACTTGAAACCTGCCTAGAATGCTTCCGTAGAGCACAGGAAAATTCCAGTTTTAGCTCCAATATTCGGATAGTTTCCACTTTAATTGAAAAATTTGATTTGAATTCTCATTCGACTCAAAATTCAGAGTAGACTTTAACAATTACGTACATCTCTGGGCAAAAGTCTTTCCCCTCTCTTTTTCCTGTCCAATATGTCATTGAAAACAAAAAAAATTTAAATATCCTCGTCATATTTTGACCAAATGGGCTGATATTTTTACCAGTGATAGAGAAATGTTCATAGCTCATATTCATAAGAGAAGCATTATGAAAAAGTGTGTTGAACTATTA